AGGGGGGGCGCGTGTCCCCGCGGTGGGGTGACCCCGGGCTGCAGCGCACCGAGCGGGCAGCTGGGGAAAATGGTCTTGTGGGGAAAAATACTTTATTGAGACTTTTGGTCTTTCTTAGGTGTAGTTCTCCGGTGTGCCAGCCAGCGACTTAAAGTTTAACAGCACTGCCCCGGCGCTCGTGAGGCGCTGGCTCTGGCTTGTGCAAACACGGAATATGTCTGGCTGCTCTTGGCACTGAAACGGAGATTATTCCTCTTCAGCGCAGCTGCTGGTGTTTTGCACAACGTTTCTCACTTTTCCTTTAGTCACCAGAGTATTGTGACGTACGGTTTGTTTGCTTGGCTTTAGATAACCAAACTAACGTGCATCCATCAGTATCTTAGGCGCCTGCGTCTCCTCTCTCGCAAAGGCAGCTGCCATCGTGCCTCCTGCTTGTCCCCGTGCTGCCCCGGCATTGCCCGTGCTGGGTCGGTACCACTGCTCCGAGCAGCTGAGGGAACACACGGGGCTTTAACTCAGGAGTACTGTGAGGCAGGTGAGGGGAGGAAGGAGTGTGGGTGTAACTCGATACGAGAGGAGCAAACTCTCCTCTGTTTGCTTGTGAGGCAGGGTTTGGGAAGGCGAGCGTTGGTAGGCTGGGGACATTTGCCAATGGAGGCTCCTGGAGCCGCAGGGACTTTTCTGAAGAATCAGTATTTGATCACATGCTTTTTCCTCCCTTTCTCGTCCGTGACCTACTGCTGTTCAGTTTCTTACCTGGGAACACAGTATGTGCCTGTGAGGCTATTTGGTGGCAATATTCATGACTCATGTAGGATCACAGCAAATAAAGAATTCAATTTAACAGCTGTGAGTAGATAACTATTTTTTATAAGCTAGGAAATCAGCGTATTGTAGGAATGACACAAAAGTCGATTTATACTTTGATACACATAGAAAAAGCAAAGTTAAAACTGACTTCATTTAGCCATAGCTTTCATTTGCTCATTACATAGACACTTGTGAAGCTGGGTTTTTCTCCCTTTGGTTGGATAGATGAAAACATTATCACCATAGTGGTTTGGGGTTGTTTAGAAAGGATCTTTGTGATTTTGGATATTGTGTGAAAAAATTCCATCTTGCTGAAGGCATCAGCAAAGAGGTGTCATGAAAGCGGCTGAGGTTTCGATTAGTATTATCACCTGACGTACACACCCGTCTGGCATATGGTTGACCAGAATGGTCAATCTCCATCCTTAGAGATACTGAAAACTCAACTGAGCAACCCAAGCTGACTTGCAGGACATCCCTGCTGAAGTCCCTCTTACCCTAAATCGTTTGGGAGTTAGGGTTGAAAAAGCTACTGTTGAGGTACAGTGCTGTTTGTAGGGACCTCTGGAAGCACCCACGGTTGGTGCTGTGTTCAGTCAAGGTGGAGACCCTCATGTTCTGGGGATCTGCTGGAGCTTCCAGGGCTTTTCCCAAATTAGAGATGAAAAAAAGTCAGTCGTGCCAAAAACAACAGTTGCAACACCAAAGTGAGAAGGTATAGGAGTGTCCAAGGTATCAGTGGGTATGCTAACACTTCATGAAATCCTTGACTAATGTTAATTTTTCAAGTAAGCAGCTGCTGCAGTTCTCATGGGTTTATTTAAACACAGCTGGTGTAAACTGAGCATGAATATAGCTAGGGTAGGGGAATTAAATGGAGGGTTCTGGCGATCGAAACAGGCACTGGAAGAAGACTATATGGCATAGTCACTTGTGCAAGTAGGGACTGAATGGTGTTACTTTATCAGAAATTAGAGGAGAGATGGCCCATAAGAAACTCAGTACTCGCATGTAGTGCTGATTTTCAGGCTTTTTTTCTGGCATCGCTGTCCTTCCTCCTGTCTTCTCCTTGCATCCAAATATAGTCTTCAAAGTTGTCTTCATTGCCATCTGAGATACATGATATACAGTATAAAAAGTATTTTGCTCCAAGGTTTAAGGAAGATGGTGAGGTGTCAGAAGTGGTCTCAAACCAACTCCCTGAGCAGAAGTGGTTTCAATGTTACTACAAATGGTGTCTATTAATGCATAGCTGGTGCATTAGGGAGGTTTTTAGGGATGCTGCCGCTTTGTTAAGCCCTGCTGGGATGAGAAAGACACACTCCACATCAGTGAAGAAATTCCTGACCTACTGAGGTTGCCAGCTGTGTTCTGTCCTTGTAAGGAGTGCTGTTTCCTGTAGCTTCTAGGGTGTTTCCTATAGCTTGTAGGGAGAGCATTTAAAGATGTTGTTAATGCTTCAGCATTTTAACCTCAGCATCATGGTTTGAACAACATAATTTACATTCAAATGTTTATGCTTCAAAAGGCTAGAGGTAATTCTATTGTCTCCTTCAAGTACCTAAAAGAAAATTACAATTCATCTGCTTCCATTGGAAATAAGTGCTTTTAGGAAGGTTTTTTTTTTTTTTCTGAGGCAGAGCTAAGGTACCTTACTGGGACTGAGCTCAGCTAAGCCAGCTGATTGCTTGTAAAGAAATAAACCTGCCAGTTGTCTTTGAAGTTCACCCTAGAAGAGGGGAGATGTTGTTTGGAGGTTGCACTTCAGTCCCATTAAAAGAAAGGTGACTGTGCAGAGTCCATGCCTATGGCAGGATGTTTTCTAAGCTCAGTGTCCTGTACTTGAATTCAGGGAAGTGATTGTCTGAATTCTGCTAAGTGAGATGCTTTCTCTGGTACTTGCTCATTTGAGATCTCCTAGAAATTGGGGCTCTGCTTTAAGTGTATTTAAGTGTATTTTATTCTCTTTGTACCCTCTAAGGGTTTGAAGAGCCTGGCAACAGTCTGGCCCTTGTTCACCTTCCTGCCCGCTGGGCTGTTCTGCAGACTTCACACTGAGCAGGAGTGGAACAAGTATGGCTGAGATAATGAGTCTGCTCTAATTTTTTTCTTTCATGCAGAATAACTAAAGCACAAAAACGCAGCCTGCTGAAAGGGGTAAGAGCCAAGAATAATACCCAGAAGTCTTGGCATCCAGTTCAGCTTTTAGGTTACACTTGGCTTTTGAAAACTATCTTTTTATGCTCCCTGGTATGAGGATAATAGCTAAGCTAACTGTTATCTTGTTTTTCTGTTGTAGTACAATAGGGTTTGGATCCCTGATAATGAAGAAGTTTGGCAGTCTGCAGAAATCACAGAAAACTACAAAGCTGGAGACCGTTTTCTCCATGTGCAATTAGAAGATGGAACTGTAAGGAGAAAAGCCTTAATTATCGTGGGGTTTGCTGAGATATGTTTATGTAGAAACATAGGCCTCACCATTGCAGGATCTAAATGGCTTCTCCAAATTTTATTTTATGCTAACCCTGCATTGACCAGAATTTTATCATATTGAAATTTCTACAGCAGACAGCTGTTATCTAAACATAAGAAGAGTGCAATTCTGCTGTCCGTGTAACATTTGTACAGAGCACATACCTCGAATATCACTTCACTTTTGAAACGAGCACTGAAACTCAAATTGTAGTAAATCGGAAGTACAAGGCAGCCACAGTTATCTAGCACAGAACTAGCTGTTGTGTTTTTTTCCCTAAAGTTGTTGCTTTATGTAAGATCTGATAATTTTAGTGGCTGAGTTCTTTACAGATTTGATATTTTGAAAGCAGTATTTCTGTATTTCTGCATTCCCGTTCCTGTAAAGACAAGGATTCAATGGATTTGTTGAAAGAAACAGAAGTGAGTTTTAAACTTTGTGTAAAGAAAACTGAAGGGTTGCAAGTAAGAATAGTTTTAGAGCTGACTGAAGTTCTGACCAGGTGTTTGCTTTCATTCAGTTGCAGCTTGTCTGCCATTTTCATCTGTGCTTGAAATATGCGTCTGTTTAGAGAGCTAACAGATTTCAATACAAAATACTGTCAATAAAGAGAATGTAGCTTTCTTTTTACTAAACAACGAGGAGCTCCATCTTACTTTCACATTCTCCAAGTCCACTAAGTTCAGTGGGATATATGGAATTGGTGAAATACAAGATCAAACAGGGCTCCATCAACCCTGTAACTTTGTGTAAAGGTAGAAGATCAACTTGTGTGTATGCAAACATAACGTATTTTATGAGATTTCAAGTCATTTTTGTTGATAGGAACTGAATTACCCTGTTGATCCAGCTGCTTTGCCACCCCTACGAAATCCTGACATACTTGTTGGTGAAAATGATCTCACTGCACTTAGCTATCTCCATGAACCAGCTGTTCTACACAACCTTAAAGTTCGTTTTGTGGAGTCTAAGCTTATCTACACCTATAGTGGTAAGCAAAGTAAAGTGCAAGGTTAAAAATAATTTATTAAAAAAAATCATAGGTTAGTTTACAATATGATATGTGTGATGCTTTCCTCAAGTGTGGTTTAACTCATTCAATTTAAATAATTTTTCTATGAGTATGGATTTGTTTGTTGATCAGGATCTCCTTCCTAGTTTAGAAAATATTGCCACTTTGTAACAGTTTAACTGTTGTTGCCAAAACCTGGCATTTCATTAAACTAACCTGTGTTTTATTTTTGTTTTTTACACTTGTTTGTAGGAATAATTTTGGTTGCAGTAAACCCCTATAAACAGTTGCCAATATATGGAGATGCTATTATCCATGCATATAGTGGGCAGAACATGGGGGACATGGATCCACATATATTTGCTGTGGCAGAAGAAGCATACAAGCAAATGGCAAGGTTCAGTATGTCGTTTATGTCCATAAATAACACTTAAAGTCTCGTGGCAGTCAGTGTTAATTGTTGTTTAATGTAACTGTATGTGCCACTGGCTGTTAAGAATACCTTTGAATGGGTAGCTTAACTAGAGGAGGAGTAATTCCTTAACCAGCTGAGGAATTTCTAGAACTCATAACTATTTCCATTCTTGACAAGGGACAAAACACTGATGACTTGAAATTAGAGGTTACAACTGAAGAGGAGTAACAGAAGAACGGATGAAAGATGGAACCGATATGAGAGATGACAACAGTGGTGTTTTCATGCATTTGTTTCGTATTATCTAGTTCTTACACTTACACATGCATTCTAGACATGTCTGATTTAAACTGTCTGATTATTTGGTTTTAGAAATAACAAAAATCAGTCTATTATAGTCAGTGGAGAATCAGGAGCTGGAAAGACTGTGTCTGCGAGATACACTATGAGATACTTTGCCACTGTGAGTAAGTCAAGCAGCAACGCAAATGTGGAGGATAAAGTATTGGCATCCAATCCAATAACTGAGGTAAGTTTCAGAGAGTCTCTGTCAAGTTTGTACTCGTCAAGCAAAGAATTCTGAGAGCTGTTGGGAATCTTTGTTTGAAATCTTCAGGGATGTTTTAGCTGCCTGAGTTAGATATCTAAATTAGAAGTTTAGCCTCTGAATGTTACTGATGGGAAGAGGTAGTCAGCTTCAGGAACACCCGGGTTCTGCCTGATTTACCAGTACCCCTGTAGAGGCACTAGTTTGCCTCCAGAGTTTTCTCTGATCACATCCTATTAATTAGATGGTGAGAAGACCTCTAATCCTCAGTTTATGTAGTGTTCTACTATTTGACTTGAGGCTTCTCTTCAAATTTGGGTCTCAAAATTTAAATCTCACAGCTCAATGCTGAAGTTTTATGAGCACCTTTGATTTTAGGAACTTGCATCTGTGTCATGTTTTGACAAAGTTATTCTTATGAAAGATGCAAGTAAAGAAAATTCTGAAAGTTGATAATTTTTGTAGGCTGTCGGTAATGCAAAAACCACACGGAATGATAATAGCAGTCGATTTGGAAAATACACTGAAATCAGTTTTGATCAGAGTTACCAAATCATTGGAGCTAACATGAGAACATACCTGCTTGAGAAATCCAGAGTTGTCTTTCAGGTGGGTAAAATAAAGTTAAAAACAGCAAATGTCAGCATATCTACTAATGTACTATCCTTTACTAGTTTCATACAGAAAATGTTATGTCAAGTTCTGATGGTATGTCTAATCAGCGTTTGATTTATTTTTTAATAGGAGCTAATCTTATTTATAATAAGAAACTAATTTATTTCATGTTCTTCCTTATGGTAAGTGGAAGATGTATCTCAGGGACAATTCCCTGAGATAAGTGCAAGAAGTATTTGAGAAATCTGTGACTTTCAGTCACAGAAGTAGCACATGCTGATTGTGTCTGGAAAGGAACAGCGTATGTAGGGCAGATGGAGTCTCAGTAAAAAAATGGCTGAAAATTTATAAGACCAGGGCTCATTGCATGTGACTTGTTACAGTGTCAGAGGATAACTGTGATAATCTACTAAAGAAAGCATTTCATGTTATAAAACGGTTTTTATGAACTAAAACAGTTTTTAGTAGTATTGTAACTTTTTAAGTACTATGAAAAATACTTCTATATATCTGCTGCCTGAAGGATGGTTTGAGAATAGAGAGTTTTCTGAGCTACCGCGGGGCAGTGTTTTAGCTGGCACTCCTACACAGTTGTTCGTTACAGTATTTGTCAGTTCTGATTAGTAGATGGTTGTTCAGGCTGAAGAAATTATTAGAGTAACAACCTTGGGGAAAGAACTCAGGATAGCATTGACGGAAATAAAGTATGCTTAAATTTATCTCTTTCAAAGCTCTTGCTGAAATCTAAAATGTGCCATTTTAATATTGGACAATTTCCTTGACAAACTATGTTGCAGCAGAATTTAGCGTTCAAGTATCATTATCTCTTTACAGTAGTGTTGAATATAAAATGTTTTTCTGTTTGTTTGTTTTCTTTCTGTAATGGTATTCTTTAATTTACAGTCAGAGAATGAGAGAAACTACCACATATTTTATCAGCTGTGTGCATCTGCTATGCAACCTGAATTCAAGCATCTTAAATTAGGTAGGTCTCAAGAAAATAACCTACTCTTCATTTTTGCAGTGCAGTATTTTGAAGATTGGATTTTCAGATGCTAGGATGTTAAGTGCTTTTGAGCATAAATCTCCCAGGCAGACAATGGGACTTGCATTTTTAAGTTACTTAGCTATTAATCCTGCTTGTATTGAACTTAGTAACAAATCTCTAGTAACTTGAACAGTGCATGGTCAAGTACCTAAGTGAAAATCTTATTTGAATACTTTCTGTAGTGACAGATGCCATAATGACAGTTTAGGGACTTGATTCATTTATCTACAGAGAAGCTTTGATGCCACTTGGGAGAAGCTGACCTGGTGTTACGAGGGGCTTTAGCAAGTGGCTATCTCCAGTCCTGAATTTTCCAGCATTGCAAGTTTTTGTTCTTATTTATAGGAAGTGCAGAAGAATTTAACTACACAAGAATGGGTGGCAGCACAGTAATAGAAGGAGTTGATGACAGAGCAAATATGGTGGAGACTCAGAAGACATTTGCCTTACTGGGTAAATTCCTAGGAATACCTTCTCAATAGATATAATTTTATTTTTTTTCTGAAATGGGCAAAGGCAGATTGTTTCTGAAATGTCCAAAACTTTAGCAGTAATTACCAAAATAATTTCTTTCATCGTTTATCCATTGCACTGTTGGTCTGTTTTTAAAGTACTATGCAAGAGCAAATGGCTGTTAGCAATTGGTGTTCGTTGTTAATGGTCAAAATCACCAGGGACTGGAGTCTTCTTGGCCCTTAAGCTAACATGGTGTGACAGAACTGGCATTGGAAGCTTCTTTGCCCCTATATGGCTTATGTGAAAGCCAAATGGCACTTGGTGAGGTACAGGAATTTGTGCCTAATCTCTCATCGGATCAGACAGGCAGAAATCGGGCAGAACCAAGGCTTTGCATAGTAGTCTGCAGAGATGCTATACAGTTCTTGGCTACACAACAAAGCAGGTAATCCAGCATTGTGCTATTTAATTAATTGTATTGTTTCTGAGTATTTAAAATAATCAAGATTTTCTTTTTTAGGTCTGAAGGGGGATTTTCAGATGGATGTTTTTAAAATGCTGGCAGCAATTCTACACTTAGGCAACGTGGAAATAACAGCTGTTGGAGATGAAAGATCAGCCATCAGTGTAAGGAAGTAGTTCATTCACATACCAGCCTTTTCTTTTATATTCAATGCCAAAAGTAATTTAGCAATAGTTTTTCTCATATCTGGGACTCAGAACAGTGTTAAAGCTGGTATATTACACTTGAGAGATTTTTCCATCTTCATCTGTATAGAATCACAGCAAGTGCTTATGTGAATCCTGTTTTGTGCCCAAATTCAGAAAGTCTGAACAAAAGGCAAATGTGTCTAAGAAAATCCCACAGACAGTTGTTCCACAGCTGTTGGAAAAGCTGTTTGGGACTATCTGCAGGATACAGGAAACAGAGCATTGTCAAAGCTGCCCAGAATGTGTCCCAGCAGATGATGCAAATCTAAAAAGCAACGACACTTGAACATAGACTAAAATAACTTTTTCTTTCAATGTGTTAATCCAAAGCATCTCATCCAGTCTAAATTTTTCTCTCCTATAGCAGGAGCACTATCCAATATTACTTGCTTTAGCTCTTCTTGATATTTTGCTAGATGAAGAAGTGAACAGAGCCCCTTGTCTATCTAAAAAATGTCGTAGTTTGATGTCAGTGATGCCAGGATTTCACTGTGTAGACAACAGTTAAAGTAATAAACATAATCTAATTATATTTATTTATCTTTTTTAAAGCTGGAAGATAAACATCTCAATATATTCTGTGAACTTCTGGATTTAAACTGTGACAAAATGTCACAATGGTTGTGCCACCGGAAGATTATCACTACCTCAGAGACTGTAATAAAGCCAATGACAAGAGCTCAGGCTGTTAATGCAAGGGATGCTCTGGCAAAGAAGATCTATTCTCATTTGTTTGACTTTATTGTGGAAAGAATTAACCAAGCTCTGCAGTTCCCTGGCAAACAACATACTTTTATTGGTGTTTTGGACATTTATGGGTAAGAATGTCTCTGGAAGTAAATTTACTTTAAGTTGTGCCTTTGGAGTTGATAAGAGCCACTTTTCAGTTTGTGCTTTTAGTGAATTTGGAGGGGTTGGTTTTACTAAAAGGTCATAGTCGTGTAAACTCTTTAGCATCCAGAGTAGTGAATATGTTGGGCAACTGTAAATATTAGGTTCTTTTGTGAATAAGGTTTAAATTTAACTTTTTATATGATACTTTTAGATTTAACTCTGGATTTTTTTTAGCTCTATTATGTCTGGTAACATTAACTTCTAGGGAACTTTGGAAATCTTATGGCTACTTAATTTTCTTAGAAATATCAGGATAGCTCCAAAGGCTTACAAGGATACTACCATTTGTATGTAAATGTCAAGGTTTTGTTTTTATTCTCCAATACTGATGCATCACCTTTTTTTTTTATTCTTATTCAACATGTGTTTCAGGTTTGAAACATTTGATGTGAACAGTTTTGAACAATTTTGCATCAATTATGCTAATGAAAAACTGCAGCAGCAATTTAACCTGGTATATTCTTTTATTTGTTATAGTTCTTTATCTTATTTTGCATCAGTTTTGAAGTTGTCAATGACAGATATTAGCAAAAGCTATTTGTATTTGAGTCATGGATATTTCTGGATAATGGCTATCCAGTAATAGATAAAAATATTTTATTTGTTTATATACACATACATACACACATATATACATAAATGAAAATTTCTGAGTTTGTTATCTTATGACAGACATACACTGTACTACAAAATATATAAATATTTTGTTTCTATCTTATATACACAATCATGCATGTGCATACATTGTGTATATTTGCTTCCTTAATTGTTACCTTACATTTTCATAATTCTCACATATCTAGCATGTATTTAAACTTGAACAAGAAGAATATATGAAGGAAGATATCCCATGGACTTTAATAGACTTCTATGACAACCAGCCTGTCATTGACCTTATTGAAGCTAAAATGGGAATTTTAGAACTTCTGGATGAAGAGTGCTTGGTAATTTAAAAATTCTTGTATTTATGAGCTCATAAAAAAGCTTGTGGGTTAATCCATATTTTATTCCTTTTAAACAGGAAGTAGAGTGTTTTCCTCATAAAAGGAACATTAATATTTGTCCCCTATTTGGTAATTTCAATTGTAAGTCACTTAAGTCTATGTTTATCTTATAAAATTAAGAACCTAAAACTAGATTCTGACCTAGAATCTAACTCGGCAACTAGATTTCTTCACAATGAGGGTAGTGCAGTACTGGAACAGGTTAAGCAGAGGCGCAGTGGGATCCCCGTCCTTGGATACTTCCTGGATTTGGGTTCAAACGGAAGGTTGACCTAGTGTTGGGGGTAGTCTTGCTCTGAGCAGGAATTTGAACTGCCCAGTCTCCAGGGATCTCTTCCACCAATATTTCTACAATTCAGTTATCCCATGAATCACAATTTTGCTACAAAAAAACCCCAGTCTTCCTTTCATTTTTTGTTAAGTTCTTGTTGAATGCACCAAACCTACATCTTTGCGTTTTTTCTTTAGTCTTACTGTTTTTTTCTCTGTGCTTCTCTCCTAACTGTAGTAATTCCTGAATCTGTATTTTTTTCTTCTACATATACGTAGTTCCCTTAGGCTTCTGAATCTATTGAAGTAGCTTTGTCAGTGAAGAACAGGGCAGGGAAAGGTGAGCCCTCTTAAAATGGTCTCTAAAAGGTTCTATGGTGATACTGGCAACTTGTACTTCTCAGAATCCAAACCATGGAGTAATATGGGAGAAATGAGGGAATATTCCCTAACTCATGAGCTTATCTCTTATTCTGCTCATTAGCATTCTCAGGGATCAGATTGTCCCTGATTGCAGGTAGCATCCTCTCAGGACAAAATAATTTATTACTCATCAGAGAATTAACTCTTACTATCATTAATATGAACTCCTTTCTTAAAATTATTTGCTACAGGGAGTCACTGGCTATTCGGAAAAGACAAAAACTGGTTGTTATCAGGCTTCGTAACTCACTGAAGATACATTATTCAGACAGGATTTGTTGGTAGTAAGCAGTTTTGCTGGTTTTAACAGTCCAGCAGAGTTTTGTTAAAGAGACTGCCCTTCTCATTTTTACAGTTACCTCATGGAACAGATGACAACTGGCTTCAAAAGCTATATAATAATTTTGTCAATAAAAACGCACTCTTTGAAAAGCCAAGGATGTCAAACACATCTTTCATCATTCAACACTTTGCTGATAAGGTAGAGTGTAAACAATGCCGTATTATTTCACTTTATTTCTAGCAGGAGCTCATTCAGAAAAGAAACAAACTTACAAAATAGAGGAAATGTTAACTACATTTGTTTGGAACTTCTACAAAATCTATCTTCAATACATAGTACTATCTATTTATTTATTTGTAATACTGCTGGTAGCGTGTCATTTCAACATGAGAAGTACTTAGGATAATGAGTTTGAAAGTATAAAAATAAATAATCAAGATAAGCAGAAAAAGGGGGCAGTGTGTAAATAGTTAAGATTGTAGTCCGTCCACGTTTTAGTCTCGGTTATTTACATTTCAAATGTGGTATTCCTTTTTTGGTAATTTGATTTGAAATCATAAAATAATGAAGAGAGGAGGAAAGAAGTTCCTAAGGAAGGCAGATGGAAATTGCAGTTGATAGTGAATTCTGACAGTTTACCCTGCTTCTAAATTTGCTTTATGCATGTATGTATGGTAAAAGCAGAGTTTCCAGCATCATGTTTAAGACTAATAAAGACCTGTTGGCCACCACAGCTTAGAGAATACAAATTATTGTTTTGACAACTGTTCATGTATTGCTGAAAAGTTAATTATTTCACCTGTTTGCACAGGTAGAATATAAATGCGAAGGATTTCTGGAAAAAAACAGAGATACAGTACATGAAATATTGATTGACATCTTGAAAGAGAGCAAGGTTTGTGAACAATCAGCAATGATTAATTTTCTGAATACCTGATTTTCTTGGAATTCATTCAGATATGATTTTAAAATATTTGTTCTCAATAAAAGATTTTTAATTGGTTGAATCAATTAGTTTAGTTTTAATATTTATTAATATTTTACAAGTGTGTATTTTTAACGTCAAAATAACGCACAAGATGGAAAAACACAGTATTCAACTTTTTCATATATGTGCATTTACTTTGCTAGTATTTTTTCTTTTCTTAATGTTTGGATAGCATTTTGTAATCCTTGAAACTGAGCAATTCACTTAGGGTTTTTTTTTCTGTAGTCATTACCTGTAGCTTTGATAGGTGGCTTATCATTAACAGCTGCCTTTGTTTGTTCTTCAAAAGAGATTAAGAGAATACCAGGGCAGGGAAAACATCAAATGTTTTTTATGTGCCTGCCACTTCCCATCTGCTTGAAGACCCTGTCCCTTTCAGGTCTGCAGCATTGAGACTGCAGGATTACTATGAAGAAGCTAATTTAATCAGACCAAAAAACATTATTAATTTAAATTAAATCTTGTGAAAGTATAACCTTAAGTGGTCTTGCTTTTAATTCTGTTCTGTATTTATGTCCATGTTTGCTCATACTGAAATAGCTTTGTTGAGTTTTGTCTGTGAGATGTGGAAGTGCTTCACAATAGACTCAGAATTGTTGCAACTGTTCCTTCAGTTGTTTGTTTGTGGCTTAAAGATCTGGTTCCAAGTCCTGCAATGCCTGGCCTAACCATTAAGATGGATGGGTTTTGCATTTTACATTGCAGTAGGTGTAATTTTTATTTAAATGTTATTACAGTTACACAGCATTTAACTGTCATTCTTTCACCACACTTTTAGTTTCATCTGTGTGCAAATTTTTTTCAAGACAATCCAGTGTCCATTTCACCTTTCAGTTCAACCATAAACATCAAATCTGCAAGACCTGTTCTCAAGTCACCTAACAAACAGCTCCGGATGACTGTTGGCAGTAAGGTACTACATAAACGTGCTATTCTGTGATGCTCATACTTTCAGGGAAGTGTACTGGGAGTTCTGAGATGATGGTGCTGTATTCTATTGCTATTCACGCTGGACTGTCCAGTTTTCAATACAGCAGGAGCCAGCCACAGTGCAGTGCTGCAGGTCTGGATATAAGTAGGTGTGTTTAATTTATATATAGGAGACTGTTAGGTACAGCAGGACTGTTAAATTTCCTGCATTTAAGATCTAAACCCCAAGAAAATGTCCCAGTGTCCAGACAAAACCTAACAAAGAGTTAAAAAACTAAGACTTGACTTTATCCTTAGCTGTAAATGTTTCGTTAGCAAAACTGTTATGTCTGATATTTTCTAGTTCCGGAGTTCTTTGTCTTTACTTATGGTGACACTCAATGCAACCACCCCTCATTATGTACGATGCATAAAGCCAAATGATGAGAAGTTGCCTTTTGAGTAAGTATGTTAGTCGTGTAAGCTGTTATATTACCTTTAAAATTAAAAGAGTATTTTTCTGTTTCGTAGTAGCTAGATGTCAGCAAGATGAATTCCTACTGTTGAGCAACTTACCATACAGAAGATATTTTTCCTTTCAAGATAACTGAAGTAAAAAAAAATTGTCTTCTTACAAAAATAAAATAATTCAACAATAGTTATTGATACCTTAAAAATTCTTTATTATCCTAAAATTTTTCAAGTTGGATATTAGTGTTTGTGTATTTGTCATAACTTTTTTAGGGGAAAGGTTGTCTGCCTTTGGTTTAAGTTGGTGGATATTTTGTTCAGATGTGTTTGTTCTTGTACATCATGGATTATCACCAATTCATATTTAAAGAATATGCTATTTCCTTTGTGAACTTCCCTTTTGTCCAGAGAAATATTTAGAGGAGCTTTAGAAGTCAGAAAAGATATGAGCATTGTTGAATATAGCTGTGGTGTTTTCCTATAATTTTTAACCATTTTAATGTTATAATACAATCATATATGCCAGATAGCTTGCACGACTCCTATGTCTAGCTGGATAACCATTAACTGTAAGCAGGAGTTAACCCTGATGCAAATATTGGTCTGGTTTGTGGAGAGATGTGGAATCTAGTTTCAGTTACACAGCTTTTAGCTGGAAGGTAGTGTAATGACAAATGAAATAAAAGGTTTTGTCATATCTGAGTAGGAGGGAAGAGGCAAAATTCGATTCTAAATTAATTTTTTAAAATGTGTTAGCTCATTTTCTTGAAGCCAGACAAAATTTGTCCATGCAAAAAATGTATCACTATCACTGCAGTGAGACCTCATTATTCTGTATAATACTAATGAGGGGGGAAATAACTCGGATAATATCAAAACATGTATGAATTAGACTAGAAGAGCTTACCATAAGTATCTGAAACAACAGTGAAGTCAGTCATCTGTCAGGCACAGGAATCTCTTGGCTAACACTGGATCGACGCTGTAGCATGGTGTTCTGAGCATACCGGCACTGGTCCAGAACTGGGAAGGGTCTTTCCGTGCCTCATGTTGATAATCTTGAACCTGGATATTCATGAGTAAATCCTGGTTTGTTCATAATCAGTGTGCTAAAGAGTACCTAGAGAGAGTTATTTCCCAGTGCACTGCTGGGGAATATGAGCTTTCACAGTTAATGTTGAAAAGGAACAGGACTTTTTGTAAGAGAAAAAGTAATGTAGTCTTCCTTTTGTTTTGAGGCAGAAAAAGAAAACTCGGATGCTCCCTATCGCATATTAAAAAAAAAAAAACAAGTAAGACACCTTATAAAAAGTAGGGAGCCATGCATTCTATGTGCAGAAATAGAAATCCAGCTAGTAGAATAGTTGTAATTACTAAAGCATGTCAAACCCAACAAAAATGTAAAATATAACTCTGCTTTTTTAGGTTTGATTCAAAGAGAGTGGCTCAGCAACTTCGAGCATGTGGTGTTTTGGAAACTATTCGAATTAGTGCCCAGAGCTACCCATCCAGGTAGGGGCAGCAGTGGGCCTCCGTATGTCAAAAAATACTTAAGTGTCTCTTACATTAATTGCATTTACTAACTTTTAATTTTCCAGGTGGACTTACATTGAGTTTTTCAGCCGTTACAGCATTCTTATGACACAGCAGGAACTCTCCACAAATGATAAGAAGCAGATTTGCAAGATTGTTTTGCAGCGGCTAATCCAGGTTAGTTGGTATGCACTGACCCATTGTGTACTGTGGCATCCGTTATTAATAAAAGGTCTCTTTTGCCAAGAGTAGTATCTCACTCCTCAAATAGGAAAGATATTTACATTATTACTATCTTTTGTGATTTAGTGTGTTGCACATAGGCTTGCAAGTCAATAACCTTGTGTGGTAGCACAGTCATGATGTGGCCATAGACAGATGATTTAACCTCCATGTGCTTAATATCTTCACTTGGAAGATATTCTACCTGATTTATAAACCAGTGAACAGTAAATGGTATACATTTGTCAAGTGTTAGGAAGCTTACACACACAAAAGGGCTTTTGATGGTGAATGAAGCATATTGGAGAACTGTTCTAAAAAGGTGCTGTTCTGCGTATTGCATCCCTGTAGGGATGAGGCTGGTCCAAGTCAAGCCACCGATTCAAGTCACATGTCAGGACTGAGTTCAGCCTTGGGGATATATAAGACCAAACACGGGTGTGCTTGCAACATAGCTCTGGCATGGGCCAAGGGTGAGAACCTGAGCTTAGAAGCAGCTTCTCCCCTGAGTTTTTGCTCACACAGCTCTCTGATTCAAAGCCAGACATGCACCAAAAGGTAGTGTTGAGCCCAAGGAACCAGACTGGTAGGAGGGCATGAAGAGCTTGCTTTCAAGGCCTTGATGATAAGTCCAGATCCTCCCTTTAATTTGAGATGACTAGGGTGCGATTTTTGGATGTAATTCTCTGGTTCTTTACTGCTAAATGGATTTTCACCTTGTTACTCCTACCTGCAAAGAAAGCAGAGAGGATGTTTTTATTTAGCAAGATCATGTAATTTCAGAAGAGCTTGCTTGAAGTGACAATTTATAAAAGGAAGAGTGTGTCTGGTCTACAGTAATAAACTAAAAATTGAATATACCTATTGTTTTCTTTTTCAGGATCATAACCAATATCAGTTTGGGAGAACAAAAATTTTCTTCAGAGCAGGACAGGTTGCTTACTTAGAAAAACTGCGATCAGATAAACTGAGACATGCGTGCATCACCGTCCAAAAGAGTGTTCGAGGCTGGCTGCAGCGGAAGAAATTCCTTCGCATAAAGCAAGCGGCAATTATAATACAGCAGTATTTCAGGGGGCAGCGGACTGTACGGTACTTTTGGCTGATAAATGCATTTGCTGTTAGGGCATGCCTGAAGGGATATAGAAGGTCAAACTAATGCACAACTCTAATTTGGAAGTGTAATTTTTACGAAAGAGCAATTCCAATTGTATTTCCATTTCCTCCTGAGTGTAGTTATGGACTTGAAAATGTTCAAGTTATTCAGCTGATACGAAGAAAGTGCTCTAGCATATTTCAGGTGTTGACTGCCGGATTCCCGAGAGGCCTGTCTACCTGTAAGCTCAGTCCTTAGCTAACGATGCCTGACCTGCTTGTCAGCTTAGGCTTAGTGCATAGCTTCAGAGCCAGAGATCAAATCAGGTAGCAGAAAGGAAAAAGCAATTTACAAGGGTCTACAAATTAGTGTGTGCAAATTATTATGAGGAATTATGCAGCAGATAAACTGCACTAGTCATTCACAGAGCAGATTAAGAGGAAGATGGCTCTATGTAGGCTTTGAAATTTTCAGAAAGAGACCATCAGAACAATTGCTTGTGGAACAGATTTCAGATTGTGGATAATTTCACTTTGAAGAAAAAGCTGTGTTTTAGATAGTGGATGCCAGTTTTCAATACCTTATTTTTTGTGTGTGTGATTTGACTGACTGAGGGAATAAGCTTGAGAAATCTAATGTGACCTAAGTAAACTTTACTGTCTTTTGAATTAAGGCAAGCTGTAACTGCAAGAACTCTGAAGCAAACGTGGGCCGCTATAACTATTCAGAAATACTGTCGGGGTTATCTGGTCCGTAGACTTTGCCAGCTCATCCATGTGGCTGCTGTAACAATCCAAGCTTATATAAGAGGATTTCTAGCAAGAAAAAAATATCGGAAGGTACAGCCTATCAAAAATTTTATTTCAGTAACTGAAAACAGCTATTGTGCTATATAAGAAAAATGGAGACAAAGGCAATGATCTGTAATATTTTACCTTTTGCATGCCTGGTTCTCATATCTTCTACTTTATTTTTATAGTGTTACTATAAAAATACTGTTACACAGTGGCTTAGGTCTTATCTCTGAGCTACCAAGAACTCTGTCTTGTTTATACTTGATGCAGATTAGTTAGTGTGATTACTACAGTGGTTCAAATGTGTCTGCAGTCTGGTTGTTTCAATATTTTGATACTTCCGTGAGAAGCATTGTCATTAACAGTGTAGGTAGATTCACAGAGTGTTATAATTGATGCTGATTGAGCCATAGATAATTACAGACAGATGTTAATATTTTCTTTTAAAGATGCTTGAAGAACACAAGGCTGTGATCCTTCAGAAATATGCCCGTGCATGGCTTGCCAGGCGCAGATTCCAGAATATTCGGCGGTTTGTATTGAATATCCAGCTTTCATACAGAGTTCAGCAGCTGCAGAAAAAGATAGAAGAACAGGTGAGGGACACCAGTCAGTTTATGATTTGTACTGATTTTTAAAATTGTATCTGTTTTATTCAGAGCTCTTATATTGACTGGAGGCTTACATGAATTACAATATCCATTCTTTACTTGACAAGACAGGACAATATGTAAGGGATATGGTCCTTTGTAATAAACCACTAGTATTCTTCCTACATCCAGGCTAGAAAGAATCATCCAGGATTTCCTTATATTTTTGGATTAGTTGTGCCAATGCGAAGAGTCTGCAATTAACTTTTTTTCTACTGTTTCTTAAGTAGTCCGTCCAGTCTCTGGAGGGGTTTACTTGTATTAGGATGAAGGATGCGTGAGATACTGCTATGGTGCAACATATTTAGTAACTTTTGGGAATTTCATATTATGTTTAGTTTGCAACGTATTTTTGAGAGCCATACCTGCCAAAGCATCTTTAAGATGGTAGCTTTAATCTAATTGATGGAAACAATCCTTGGTTGAAATAATAATGACTGATATTGGATGGTGAGCAGAAATAGGTCAGGTGCTTCCTTCAAAATTCTATTAAACAGGTGTGCATTTTTCTGTTTTCTTGTAACCTGTCTTGCTCACTGTAGAGTAGAGAAAATCATGGTTTGCTGGAACGATTGACCAGTCTGGCTTCAACTCATATGAATGACATGGATACAATTCAGAAACTCGAATTAGATCTTGAAAAGTTAACTGCTCAAAAGAGAACATACGAAGAGAAGGGCAAAAAATATAAAGAGGACACTGAACAGGTAAACGTTAATTGCCATTTGGATGCTTTTATTTTAGTTTAAATAATTTCTGCAGCTACTGGATTTATCAAATGCATGATTCAAGAGTTACTAAGTAACTTCACTTTTGGGGGGTGGCAGGGGAGGAACGGAGTCCATATATGCTTGTTAAAATGTAAGACCTTCTGTGACCTATTTCTTCCTCCTTTGTAATTTGTATTTTATGCTTACTTTCTATGTGTACAGAAAATCTTAAAACTTGAGAATCAGAATAAAGAATTACAAGAACAGAAAGAGACTTTAGAAATAAAGCTTCAAGAAAAAACTGAGGAAATGAAAGGTACAATAACTAAAAGGAGTTATAAAGGAGTTATAGTGGGGTAAAATGTAAAGTCGGGTTTTCAGCAAAGGTAAATCACTTTTGTTCTAATAAAAGCAATATAAATGCTGAATTTACAGTAAATTAAAAGTTGGTCCTAAGCTCTACTTGCTTAGAATGTGTAGTGCAAATGCTTTTAACTTAATAATTAAATTAAATTTGTTCTTTCAGTAGCAAAAGCTCTCCTCCTATTACGTTTCCTCTCTCATGCACATTCATTCCTTCAAAGTGTCGCTTTGTCCTTGGTTCTTTTAATGTACTGCTTTTAAGAATCTAATTTCAAAGGACACAGACAGCACATGAGATCAAGGATACTTCAGATGAATACCACTTTGGTGTTTCAGAACCTTTTTATTCTATAGCATTACTTGGATAGTAATATAATTTTTGGCACTTGAGAGAGTAATTTCAGCCTTAAACTGTGTTAAGGATTACTTATGAAAACAAAACTTCTCGTTGTGGTCATACTAGTTTAATAAATGCACATAATTGCATGAAGGTCTTTGAAATATTGAAATATTTTTTTACAGAGAAAATGGATGACCTCACGAAGCAACTCTTCAATGATGTACAAAAAGAAGAAAATCAGAGAATGTATGGAATCTGAATTTTATTGCTTTGGAACAGTATTCATTTTTTTTTCCTCTTTCCTTGCCTTTCTTTCTCCTGCTGTAGATGTATTATGCTCACATCACTTATGAATCTGTCAGTGCTCTTGAAGTACTGAAGTACTTCATGTACAGTTGAGGAAAAGCACATGCTAGTTTGTGGATCAGTCACATGCAGAAAATTATACTGTAGACTTGAGACTGTTCTAGCTTTTGCAGTTTCCTGTCTTTTCATATATCTTTGTGTCTTTCTGAGAATTGAAGGGCAACCCTGATCATAATGGTTTCTTTGGAGATATCCTCAGAATTCGGTCAGGGCTGGAAGAGCAGCTGATGGCCATACCAGTCAGAATGCCCGTGAAGTAAATATTAAAGGACAGAATTGAAAGATTCAGCTTGAAGGAAAGGCAGCATTTGTAGAGGACATTTGGTTAAAATACAGGGGAAAAACTTCCTGTTTTTTGCCCTTTGGTATTTCATTTGCAGTGTTAAAAATCCTATTATTTAGCAATGAATGGTTGTTGCTTTGCAGCATGCTTTTCTCAGATCAAGTGTTTATTTCCCAGTAAGTCTCTTCCAGTATAAGACAGAGAACCTTAGGTACTGGATAAATGCTGTTCTCTGAAATGTGAAGAGTGCAGTCAGTCACTGTTCTGAGGATTGGAAGCTGTGTGGAGTTTCAGCTCAGTCTAATTTCAGCTGCAAATAACTTCAGACTATACTTAGAGGACTTCTTTGCTAGCTTTTCCTGCTTTGCCCATTAGCTTTATTATGTTGGAAGCCAGTCCAGTAGGGGCTAGTAGAAAATGGCAAGCTTCTAACAATGTTTTACTGAGAAGGACACAGGACTCCTGTTGCTATGTCTTTCTTCAGCGCTGACTGTGTCCATAAACTTAGCAGAAAGCTCCTCAAGTAAGCTAACTCTCAAAGAGTTGGAGAATTAGCCTTTAAGTGGAAAAAACTCAGTTTTGCCTTGAATTCAGTCCCAATATCTGAATTAGATGTA